GCACCACCACGCCCAGTCTCAATTGCTATCTCAGCGTGCCCCGGGGGTGGGGCCGGTCCTTCATTTATATCCCCTTTCTTTTGTTTAGTTTTGTCAGAGATGGATATTCCATTGCCATTTAAATATTGTAGGTGCATGAATTCAGCAAAATAATCCAATATAGTCCAGTAGTCCATAATAGTAGTGGGTTATCTGTAGGACCGGCAATGTCAGAAGTTGTTGACGAGCTTTTTACAGCTCAGCACATTAATATGGCTTCACTTTTTAATACCTCATTTTTATACTTTTTTGTTGGATGGTTAAGACTGAGGTAAAGCAAGACCTACATAAAAAGAAGTGTAACTTCTGTATCTGACAAGGTCAGTCAAATCCCCTCAAGATTTACTCTGAAACCCTGTACCTTTTTGCTCTCTGCAAAAGCCTGAGAGAATGTTTTCTCTCTATGTGACTCTCCTTAGGCACACTCTACATTGTTGATCACTTTCCTCTGTGGCCCCATAGTCTCCTTCATCAGAAAATTTGGGATACCACTGAGTTATAGGATATTAAGTACAGGTTCACTTATGTCCTGAGTCCTCACTGACCTTGAAAGGCTAGGGCCAAAATGTTGGCTGTCCTTGCAGCCCTTCTTTTTACTAATTTTTGGTCTGCAAACTTAAATTGTTAACACTCCAGAAGAGAAGCTTAATTATATTATTACCCTATAACATAGGCAGTTGAGCTTAACCTCACTATCTGTGTAAATGTCAAACATCTTAGACATAACATGGAACAGGTATTTTCTTTATTTTTTTATTTTTTTCATAATTTTATTGATAAACAAATAGCAATGAGACAGCTTTAAATCAAATTGCTAGGACAGTTTCAATAACTAACATACTGCATACATTCTTCCTAGTGGTTAATTACTGTACAAGATATGGACTTGAGATCCTATTTACAAACACCATTAGAACATATCATTCTATTCATTAACAGAAGGTAACTATATATCTATCCTAACCACTTTGAATACACAGATACAAAATAGACATTCATCTGTATACCCTTTTTTTTGTTAAGTTCTGTTATTTGAATATTATAGGTGTGTAAACTCAGCAAAATATTCTAAAAGAGTCCAGTAGCCCATAATAGCATTGGGTCTTCTGTTTAACTGGCAATGTCAGAAATTGTTGACCTGAGTCCCCGACAGCTCAACATAACAGCATGGCTTTCCTTCCTATATTTCATCTTCATATTTTTCTACTGGATGGTTAAGTCCAAGGTAAAGCAGGACCTATGCAACAGGAGTTGTAGCTTTTGGGTCTGATAAGGTCAGTGAAATCCCCTCAGGATTTTTCCTGACATATTGATGACAGGGTGATAACATGGGGATATCTAAAGGAAGCCCCCTTAGATACAGTGCCTTTGGGGCAGGGGGTGTAGCAATGGTAGAAAGCTTGTCTAGCACACCTGAATCCTTAGCTTTGATTCCCAACACCACAAAAACAAAAACAATGGAGTGACCATTTCAATAAGGGCTTTAGAGAACATGGAGCTTTTTTAAGGCATCTGGGCCAGGGAGAAAGTGCTTGTTCTGCCTCGCCTTTGCTGGTTTCCATGGGAATCAATCGAGCTGGGGAGAAGCTGGCATTCTAAATGTATCCTGCTATGAGTAGAAAAGCAGCTCCCAGTGTGGAAGGAGAGTAGGGCTAAGAGGTAGGTGGCCAGTGCACTGTGCTAGCAGGGAAGGGGGCCCAGATAGCCTGAGCCTTCTGCACTTGCAGCCTCTGCTCTCCATGTCCCCGGATTTAGAGGGTCCTGGGTCCACCCCCTCTCTTCACATGTCATAGTGTGGGCTTCAGCTCCATTAAGAAGTTGGTTACATATGCAAGAAACTGCCTCTCTGGAGGTATTAAATTACACCTCAGTGGTTACTTCATCTTCCATCTTGAAACATAATGGCCACCTCAGGCTTTTCAAATGGCCCCTGTGTGCTCTTTCTGAGTTTGTGGACACTTATACACACAACGTATAACTGCACTTATACACACAGTGAACTTCCTGATAGAGAAAAGGCTGACCAGAAACCTTTCCAAAGCAACAAAGGTCACCTAGCAGGTCAGAGCTGCATGGGAAATTAGCTATAGGGAAAGACTGCTGTGTCGTGATGTCCAGAAAGAGCAGATCAGCTTCTGCCTGGTCTCTTCTCTCCCTTTTGTCAACTATGGGTTCATCACTGTGACACCCAGCGAGAGGGAAATGAAAGGGGGCAGAACAGGAGGAAGGGAGAGGAAATGTTTCTCTTTTCCTCAGCCTATGGGCTGCTTGACAGGCATCTGAGAAAGGCGGGGGACTTCTTAGCTCTCAGAATAGCTCATCATTTTTAAGAAAGCAGGCTAAGGACCAACTTTGTGCTAACTTTCTCATTCATTTTACAAATATATATTTAGTGCTTGTTATATCCATGGTACATACTGGAGATATAAATGTGAACCAAAGACACATAGTTTCCATCTCTGTAGAGCTTAATTAAATAAACTGATTAAAAGAGTGATTACCATTTAGACAATTAAATAGGTAATTAAAATGAATTGGGCCATGTGTGAGGTTAGGGGGATAGATGCCCTACTAGAAAAGAACTTGAGTTGGTGTTGGGGCCAGGGATGCTCCCCAAATGGTAGATGATTAACCTGAGATGGAAGGATGAAGAGCCGGCCAATTAGCTCAGCGGATTAAAGCGCCTGTTTAGGCAGACCCAGGCTAGGGGCTTGATCCCCTGCCTGCCATGCTGGCCCAGCCCTGCTGGGGTAGCCATGTCCCTGGGGCCTGCTGAGACAGCTATCAAAACTGGGCGTGTGTGCTTTACAAATGTAGTGGAGTACACCTGTAATCCCAGTGCTTGGGAGGCTGAGAAACAGGAATTATCACTACAAGTCCGATCTGTGTAGTGAGACCCTGTAGATCCTGTACTAAAAAAAAAAAAAAAGAAGAAGGATGAGAACAGGGCCGACTTTGTAGGTGTGTGACCTGGGCAGGGTCCTAGGCTCAGCGGGGCATCATGCTACAATTCAATACTCTGTGGTCATGGTACCGAAATAATTTTAATTAATTTTATCATTGAATTTATGTTTCGTAAAGGAATTCCACTGGGACAATGGTACATGCAGCAGGAGCTTGGTGACTTGGTTCACACATGGTCCTGACTTCTGCCACTTTTTCACCTCAAAAGATGGGCTCTCTGGTTGATGTTTTGCCCCCTGGTTCCCTGGACTCCCAGGAAGAGAGGTGCAGAAGTAAGGGGGTGCTCAGGGCTGGGTGCAGGGGCTCTTTGGTGTGACAGAGAAGGATATGGCTCTGGTAGTCCCCGCCTTGGATTAACCATGCCACAGCTCATTCCATGGGTGATTCTGCAAGTCCAATCCCACCAGATCCTCAGTGTCTCCTGAAGTGTAAATTGTGACACAATTGTGCCTACCACAGGGGGTTGTCCTGATTGGTCTGTGTAAAGGAGAGATGCCTGGCTCCAGTTCTCCCTCTCAGGCCAGGCTGTGGGATGTTGGGTAGCTGGATGGCAAGGGTTTTGGGGGGAGTTAGGAAGCAGGTGCCTGCTGTGGTCTGTACTTGCCCGATCCCATTGGCAACTTAAAAATGCCACAGTAGATTGTGAAAGAGATTGTAAAAGGAAGTGAAGAGCTTTATGCTTTGGTACCTTTTATTAGTACTGATTTTCTATATTTTGAAGAAGGGGGCTTCATGTTTTCATTTGCCTTGGGTCTCCTGGTGAGCTGTGGTCCCTGGATGAGGGGGTAAAGGTGAGGGTTTCAGAAGGCCAGACAGGAAAAAGGTTCTGGGTGGAGGGAGCTGTGTGGGCAAAGGGCTCAAGGAGCAAGACAGAGAGAACAAGGGGGAGTTTAGAGAAGTCTCAGCCACCACATCTATCATGGCCTGGAGTGACATGGAAAGCAGGGAAAGAATAAGGAAGGCACTGATATTCA